TGGGGGAGTTTATGTTGTGAAAGGAATCCACAATGCTATGGACCCCGAGCCAAGTTCCCATGGGAAGGCCAGGGTTTGGGAAGGCTCTCTGCATTGGGTCTGCACTTCCAGGAAAAGCACAAGCAGGGGCTGAGGTCCCAGCAAGAGAGGGCAGGTTGGTTTGTAAGTCCAGGGTATAATTTGCTGTTGAAGACAATGTACTGGAAGATAACAACAGGGTTTTTGGGTTGCTTAGAGCCCAGGTCAGATAGGGCAGAAGTTGACCTTTCTAGCTCCTGGTCATAGGAACCCTAGGATTTGAGCAGTTTGTCCTACTGGGGCCTTGGCGACATCCTTAAGAGGGAGAATGTGGTTTGAACATTGGTGTTTTGCTGTGACCACTGTGACCTAAAGCAGAGAATACATCCCAGGGCATCTGGTACAGGATGCACTAAACTGAGCGCTTAAGATTTGTTAATTGCTTTGAGACAGCACACTGATGTGCACACACAAGGAAGTCTTTTCTTTCAGTGTAGACTTGCTGAAAAGCTGAATCGCATTGTGGCTTAACACTGGACTTCATAGCTCCCCATTCAGGTGAGCCACCTTTGAGAGGTGTGAGCAAGGTGTGACTGGGTAGCAGGCAGCTAACTGGGTTCAAGTTAGGCCTCTACCTGGCAGGCTTGGGCTCATTCCCCTTTGGTCCGGGAAGCTCTTTTAGGGTACTTTGTGTTTATAATGTTGGCAGTTGAGCATGCCTATCAGGAAAGCTTTCCTGCACATGTAGTTGGTCAGAACACCAGGTCTTGCTACCGTGGACCTGCCCAGCTTCTCAGTTTTGCTCTCAGGGCACCTGAGCCTATCTCCTGACTTTTTCTCCATTCTGGCATTGGGGCTGCTGCCGCCTTGTCTCTATCCACAAGGAGAAAAGGACCCAGGCCTTCCTTACCTGCCCTCAGCGGGGCAAGGCAAGTCTGGATTTATAGCTTTTTACTGATAATAACCCCCAAATCATTTTGATCCTCTACAGCTAACTGGCCTTCCTCTAGAAACCTGCAAAGCAGTGGTAAATCCCTTTGCACTGCATTGCTTTGGGCTCCTCAGCCTCTGGTAAAGCTGGAAGTGCCTGAAAGAAAGGCAGCCAGAGCCAGGGCCCACATAATCCACACGCTCTGGACGTCACCCCGGGTGACTCAGATTCAGTTGCATTTGCCGGTTTCACAACCACCTGCATTTGATCTCCCTCCGGCAAACTCTCTGCCTGGCTCCTGGTACTAGGAGAGCATAGTGCTCTTCCAGGGATGGCTTTTCTTCCCAGCTTTTTTTTTTTTTTTTTTTTTTTTTTTTTTTTAAAAAAAGGATTTTTTTGCAAGTGTTGAACAAGTTCTGTGCGTTTTCCCTGCTGTCCTCCTAACAATGCTGGCAAGTGTGTATACTTACTGTTTCAGAGATTTGGAAGATAGGACCTGAGGAGACCGTCCTAGTCATCATTGTAATGTCCATCTCATTTCATCTTTGCATCCACCTAATGAGGTCATTGTTACTTCCGTCTTACACATAAAGAAGCTGGGCCTAGGGAGATGTGGCTGCTTTGTCTAGGGTTACTCCAGCTAGTAAGTTGAGATTCAAACCCTGGGTTAGGGTCCCACAGCACTCGATCTTAGTCCTTGCTCTTTTGCAGTTTGTTTTATTAAGTAAAATTGTTTTGTCCTTTGGGACTGACATAGCATATTCCATTGGGTTCATTTTTTTATTTGTTTGGATCTTTCTTCCAACTGTAAAAGGCCAAAGAAAACCAGCTAATGTATATCAAGTGTCCAGTAGGTATCAGACAGACACTTACTTATTTTTTCTAAAAGGGAGTGAAATCAGGTTTCTTCATACTGGAGTGTTGAGCTCCGTGAGGCCTTTTGGTCCTTTTTAAACTTTCTTCTTGTTGTTATTGTTGTTGTGTACTAAGTGCCTAGTGCATCACTGAATGCTCTCTCAGTCAATGGTCACTGAACACAGACGGGGATGAATAAGGCAGGGTGACTTGACCTGTTTGACAGGTGTAGGCACGGGACTGATTCAGGTGTGCAGCTCACCGACATGATCAGAAACGGCCTTTGCGTTTCACACTGCAGGTTTTTGTTTTGTTTTTGTTTATAAAAAGCAGATCCTTTTTACACGTGTAAGCTGAGAGTAATCAGATCTATGCTGTGGGATTACAGAGCATGATATAAAACACTATAAATACCCAATTCCAGCACCATATAAACAGTGGATAAACTGAGCTGTATTTGTTGGTTGGCATGTGTCTTCGTTTTGGGCAGGATTATCCCACACATTAGCACAGCTGGAAATGTGCGAGTCAGTGGAATGCTTGGGAGCATGTTTAAATCTAACATCGCTGCTTCTGCTTTTCAAGTCAAGTAAGTAGTAAAATTGGTGAAGTCACTTCAGCTGTACTTGGACGAATAGTTAGGAAGGTCAGGATCTCGTTAATCCCTTTTCTTATCTTTGTTTACAACCATTGTGCTTAAAAACATATCCATGGTTTGCTTATTCCCTTACACCCTAACTAGCCAATGAGGAAAATAAAGCCCGCTGAAGTTGTGCAGCTGTGGACCATTGGTCTTCCATGTTAGATTTCCTTAGACATCCACAGGCCCTGTCTAGCAAGGAGATCCAGCGTTAGTCTTGGCTTTCCAGAGCTCACGGTGGAGCCACAGTTGCTTATGTTATGGTGTTAACAAGCAATTTATATCAAATCTGCCACCAGCTGGTAAATCAGAATCACACTATGATTGTAAAAATGTTTGTATTCATGGTAGACAATGAGGCATTTGAAGAAAAAAGTGATTTGTCACACCTTTCAGAGTTACAAAGAAAATAGCCCTAAGGAGTTAAAATTTCCTTTTTCCTATGATATTTCAAAGCATTTTTTTGTTTTGTTTTGTTTTTTTTCGAGACAGGGTGTCTCTGTGGCATTGGAGGCTGTCCTGGTACTAGCTCTTGTAGACCAGGCTGGTCTCGAACTCACAGAGATCCGCCTGCCTCTGCCTCCTGAGTGCCTGGGATTAAAGGCGTGCACCACCACTGCCCGGCGATGTTATTTATTTTTATTTTATGTATATGACTGTTGTGTTTGCCCATGTCTGTACCACATGCATGCCCAGGGCAAAAGGAGGTCAGAAGAGGTCAGAAGATTCCCTGCAACTGGAGTTATGGATGGTTGTGAGCTACCATGTGGGTACTAGGAACTGAACCTGGGTCCTCTGCAAGAACAAGTGTTAACTGCTGAACCATCTCTCTAACCCCCCTATTAGGTCTTAAAATCATTTTCCCTCATGTAATTCATATTCACCAAGGAAAATGAATCAAAAGAATAATGTGAATTGGAAAGAAAGGAGTAGTATTCCTGCAAATCTGAAAAGATCCTTACTGATACTTTATGTCTTTTTAGATGGCTTGGGGGGGGGAGTGTCTCAGGCCAGACTGGTCTTAGACTCCCAGAATTGCAGACATGCACCACCATGCAGGTGGGCATGCGCTGTGTCCAGGATTGAATTCAGGGCTTCATGCATGCTAGCCGAGCCCTCTAATCAGTGAGCCACTCCTCCAGGTCTGGAAGACTTCTTTCTACCATAAACACAGTATGAAGGTATGATTCATTTGTGGATGAGAAACTTTTTTTTTTCTTTTCAATTTTTTGAGATATGGTTTCTCTGTAGCTTTAGAGCCTGTTCTGGAACTGGCTATGTAGACTAGGCTGGCCTCAGTCACAGGGATCTTCCTGCCTCTGCCTCCAGAATGCTGGGATTAAAGGGGTGCACCACCACTGCCCAGCTGAGATACTCATTTTTATACATTCTTTAAGTTATACTACGTCTTCAAATTTAAGAATTTATGACAAATCCTTTCTGATACAGTCAACATGGCAGAACAGTCACATTGTTTTGAGACAATCTGGAGAATCAGGCCATAGACAAATATTTAAATTAGTTCCCACTCCCTAGGTTCTCATTAAGGGGAGAAAAGATGTTTTCTCATTTATTGTATTTTTTTAACATTTATTTATTTTATGTGATGTTTTGGTTGCATGTATGTCTGTGTGAGGGTGTTGGACTGGAGTTACAGACAGATGTTAGCTGCCTCATGGATCCTGGGAATTGAACCTGGGTCCTCTGGAAGAACAGCCAGTGCTCTTAACCCCTGAGCCGTCTCTCCAGGCCCTGTGTTTTCTCTTTTAAATGAAGCCAGTCTAGGATTAAGTTTTTTAACTTTTTGTGTGTAGCGTGAGATCTGTCATCCTAGCATCCCAAACACGCTGGAGTCAACAGAGCAAAACAAATTGAGCAGTTCAAAAAGTCCCTCCAAAGGGCCAGACTGCAAACTGGAGTTGTAGCAAGGCCCTGGACTTGAGCTTTCAAACAAGAACAAAAAAAAAAAAAAACAAAAAAAAAAACAAAAAAAAACAAAAAAAGCAAAACAAAACCCTTTTAAAATTTAGAATAAAGAATGGAGTTAGGGGAGTGAAAAAGAGGGGCTAGGCTCTTTGGGGTCTTAGAAATGGGGTCTCACATTTAGGAGCAAAGTTCTTTTTTGTCAATCTATATAGTACTATGCATATGACATGTCATTTACCAGTGGTTCTGTTTCTGTTGAGATGCATTGTTTTAATCAGTCATGATATTTAGGCAGTCTTTCATAATCTTTTCAAATATACGGACTATTATTACTTACATATATATATATGCATATATATATATATATATA